TATTTTATTCTAATAATAACGTATATGTTTGAGAAACTTACTGTGCAAGTTTGTTTTTCTGTCTTTTGAATTAGGTATCTTGATTGAAGTATTTTCACATAAGAAAATGACTCACCCTTTGTTCTTTTAAAATTCCAGTTAGCATAATTTAAAACAATACTGACCTGTAAAAGAAGTTATCCACATGTTTTTATCTTGTATCTTCATGTTGACAATAAACATGCTGTTACTATAATCATTTGCAGGTGCACTCCAAAAAGAACAAAGCATAGGTATTCCCAGGACAGATAGAGGGAGCTGTATCTCCAGTTTTACTCTTTAAAGAGACAGCTATAAACAAGGTGTCAAGTTTAAATTTGCAAGCATAAATTTAAAAAACCTCCAGCTTGTTTTTGACTATTACAACTAATCAAATTAGGTTTTAAAAACATCAGGAAAAATATAATTTGCCTAAAGATCAAGGTACAATGAAAAAATTTTATTTTTTATAAACAGCTAAGTCAGTATGGTAAGACATTCAGGCAACTGGTCACTTGCTCTGTTTTTTTAGCTTAGATTTCCCATAAACAAATATTTGCCCCTTTTCCTGTCTCAGTGATGTAATAGCAATATTGAAAAACATGGCATGTCATCAATAAAATATGTCAAGAAGAAAAATATTAAATAACATTAATTTTAATAAAGTTGGATGGACAGGTATTACAGTTTTCTGAAAAAGAAAAGCCCTTCCCTCTCACTCACCCTGGGATAAGCTCACAGAGGATTCAGAAAGGTAAACACAATTCTAACTGCAAAGAAGACAGAGGAAAAAATATACAGAGCTGGGTTTAGAAGCACATATACCTTCCCACTATTACCTTTGATTACGCGCTAGAAACCATGCTCTGCATCCATGTAGAGAGATTGAGCTATCTCACTGCTACTGCTTATCCTCAAACAGGTAAAATTAGGCAATGAACGGAAAAAGTAACAGAATACTGCATCTATGAAATGTTGTTAAAATTGGATGTCAACCTCATAAATTACCTTTTTTTTTTTTCCCCTGAGATGTTCAACTTTACTGCCTATTTCTTACTTTTTAATTAAACATATTTTTCTCTTCTATCTTCTACAGGGGCTGGGAGAAGGGGAAGGGAAGAAGTTGTCCTACACTCATTTAAATTATTTGCAAGATTCACTGTAGCACTGCAGTCTTAATTAATCCACAAAATCCTGCTTTAATTCCAGTATACCTCAGGTGTAAAAAGGCCTCCACATTTGATTATACTTCTGAAAGACTTATAAATATAATTGCATATTATTCTACATTACAGATTAATTTTAAGCAACTGCTATATGAAAAAGTAAATGTATGAATATAAAGACCAAGTCCCATACTCCACTGAACAGTGTTTGTAACCCTGGTGTAAATGGTCCTAATCCTATTGAAAGGCCCTTCCTGGAGAGATTTCGGGGCACAAGAAAACAGGTCTGAACCCCTTCATTACTCCTGCTAGAGGTAAAGATGTTTAGTAAGATGGGCAGCAACAAATCGGCTTATGAGTTCATTACTTCTGTTTATTCAAATTCGTCTCATTTTTCACCAGTACTTTTGTACAGTGATACTCCAAACAATGAGTCAAAACTGACATCTAAGTTATTTTAAAATTTAAATTAATCAAATAAAATCACCAACAATCTGCGTCTAAGTCTGCTTATTGCAATCATCCCACCCCTGCACGTCACCTTTCCTCAGGGCACAGTTCCTCATGCTTCCTCCCTCATAGTGCTGTTACACTATTTAGGAGCATAAACTCTCCAATTAATACCGTGTCTTCTCCGATACCAAGACTAATATTAGAGCAATTATATGAATCATTAATAATCATAGAAATGCTACCCTGGAAAGCAGCATGCAAAAAGTCTGATACAATACTTGCTCCTAGAAGAGCCACTTACTAATCGTGTTTACTGAAGTCAGTATTTCCCCTGTTTGTACTACATTAGGAATCCTCTCCTTCCAACTTCCATCTATCAAATACCTCAATAAACCCGTACAAAAGCTGATGTTTCAGACTGGGATTTTTCCAAGTCAAGTGGCAATCTCAGCAGATGCGACTATAAAAGGCTACTGAGAAATTACTCAACTGTAGTAGTTCAAAAAAAAACAAACAACCAACGAACCAAAACAACCAAACCTGTAGAAAGAGATATTAATTCCTTATATTACTTGAAAACAGTACGATTAAGCCTTTGCATTCTGAAACAATGAAACTGAATTTTTTTCTTTAGGAAGCAGTAGGGAAGTAATAATTGTTTGTAGGCCCTCATGGGCTATAAACGCAGCTAACTGTGGTTATACTTTAAAATTATATTTTTAAAAATTACTATATTTTTACTATAAAAACCTTATTCACAGGATAACTGTGTCTAGTTTTAAAATAATTATTCTTTGCAAATTCCTTTACCAGGGAGGTACTTTGGACAGCATATCAACGCTTTACATTCACTTGAACTAATTAAATCACATTTTCTAAGAATTTCAATAGAAAGTATGTTTGCAACGCATATGAATAGTCTCATAGCTGGTTTTTATCCTTTTTAAAAATTTTCCACACCCTTCTGAAGTACTAACATGAAAAGACATACACTTTAGCAACGTGCTCTTCACACACGTATTGTTTGGCAATACCATCGTCTCTCCACAACTACCACTTGATATTCTCTACAAATATTCCACATATTGGATGTTTCTACTCTTCCCATTGTGTACAGCACCATGGGATCATCATATTCCTTGTAAACATGGTCTACAATCTTTTTCCTTTGTTGACAGATAAGCTTGCATTTGGCTGTATTAAAATGTACATTGCTCAGGCTGAACGGAAAATTTTTAGAAATTATAAACCACAAGTTTAAAGCTGAAAGTGAGGACGCCCTGAGAGGTGAGAAACAGATCCTCTAAAGAGAAGAGCTCAAGGACTGATGCACTGCCGTGGTTGTGCAACTCCAACCTAAAGGTAAAGAAAAGTCTTAAACTTTCCCTAACTGAGGGAGTTTATTTACAAAAACTGATATACAGTAATTCAACTACCATAAGAAACTGTGCCTTTGAAATTAGATGTCAGACGTGTAGGTTTTAAACATCGTTTTAAGCATAAGGAATGCTAATGCTTTCACAAAATTTCTGGGATACTGATACTTAACTTCTGCTATAGCTGGCTGGTCTTTTCCTGCAACGCACAGCATGGCACTGCAACTCTTCTAAGCGTATGTTGGAGGCACAATTTTTCCAACCTACAACTGGAGTACCTTTCAGCATGGAATCTTTGCTAAAAATAACACTAGCTATTTATATTTAATGTTTGGATGAAAAAATGTTTATTTAAGGTACAGTCTGTTCTCTCTAAGATGTCAACAGTAAGTAATATTTGAAGTGGAATGTTTTATTTAATATTTAATAGCATGTATAATGAAACTAGTGGAAAAATATTGAAATTTCAGAAAAATATGAAACGCCCGTCATTATTTGACTCTTATTTCAGATTAGGGATAGATGTTATCATGTGTATACCTAAGAATATATTACATGACTTAGCTTTACCAAGGAATTCAACAATATCCAGATATTTCAATATATTGTATATTACAGACAGCAAACCTAAATTTCAACTTGTGTCAATATGACCCAAAAAAACTCCTGTGAAATAATAATTTACATCAACATAAAGAGGATGCTTGATGAAAAGCATGTCCAGAATGATCCAGTCAGTTCTTTTTCAGAAGCTAATGTAGTAATCATTTAGCTCAGAGTCAGAAATTGCATTTTTTATTCCACCAGCCAAACTTCAGGTTTATCACAAATGAAATCCTGCTACCAATTTGATTATCCAAGTAAGGACTTATTTCCTGAAGAGATGAGTCAGAGGTGAAAGAAGTTGAAAGTTACACTATTTTCTGATCATTTTTAACATACAAAGACAGCAAAACAATGGTCTTTTAAGATAAAATATAAACCCAAAGCTAAATCCAACTCATATTAACTTACAAAAAATAAATTACATTACATGTTCTACTATCTAGTATAGCATCCAAATAGGAAACTGTTGTTACAGTGGGCCTTTTATAAAATAATTCAGTATCTACCTATGTAGCACCTCTTAATAAATGATCACCAGCAAAGCAGAGTACTTTTTAAGACCCACAATACCCTGTTTTTGATGGGTTAATTATAATTCCATCAACACCTAAAAGTTGTACTGGATCTATGCACAGAAGTTAGGGTCACAGGAAGAAATTCAAATGATCAAATACAAATCTGACTGCTTGCTTGTAGTGTCCAAGTGCAAGCAGTGGTCTTTTAGGTATCTTTTTTCCCCAAGATACATTTATTATTTAGAATCTGTAAACATTAAATAACCAGGTGATCACTCAGAAGTAAATATTTACTTATTTTAAAAAAAGTTAAGAGCTCATTTACAAATTCCTGGGTAGAACATACATACTGCTATCAATTTATTTAAGAACTAGCTCTTGTCCCACAGGCATTGATGCAACAAGACAATTGATACAGAGACTTATATATCATGAATTCTTTGGTTAGTTGAAACTTATTCTAGATTAAACCAGCCATCTGACTTAGGTGTGTGAAATCCACCCCCAGAAAAATGTGACTGTCTCAGTCAGCTACTGAATTTAGACTGTTAATGTCAGGGTTTTGAATTTAATCTAAATTCATCATTGTAAATACATCAAACCTGTAATTTTTATGAACTTTGGTTTTGATGCTCTTTTTAAAAAGATGTCTTTTTTGTATAACTTCTGACACCCACCTATCTACATTTATTTTACCTTTTGATGCTCTATACTACGTCCTAATTAAAAAGAAGCACAAAGGTAGGAAAGAAATGTTTTCTAACAGCCTTCATTTTATTTTTTCAGATTGATACTATCTGTCCAGTTATCCTTCTGGAAGACAAAATTTAAGGAAATTATAAAATTATATAATCATATATTTTGTTTTAGAGTTTAATAGCAGCTCTTAGCTTGGCCGACCTTCCTCTTGGGTTTGTTTGAATATCCTTGGCCTGGGGTGTCAGAACTTTTTTCTGTAACAAAATCCACTTTGAGTTGGATTTTCCATGGGGAGATTCTTGTGCATCTTCTTTTCTGGAGCAATTTTTCAGACCCTGTCTTATCTTCTGCCTTGAGCTAAGATTGTACTTTTCTGTCATTTCTATTCCATGAAGAAAACGTTTGATAATACGATCTTCTAGTGAATGAAAGGAGAGGGCTACAAGGCGACCTCCAGGTTTTAGAAACTTCTCAGCTGTCTTCAGCCCTATAAAGAGTTCATGGAGCTCATCGTTTACAAATATTCGCAGGCCTTGAAAAGTTTTGGTAGCAACATGCGCAGGTCTCTGAAGCAAGTCTTTCCGTGCATACAGTGCCGATGCTGGAAAAGCACCTGTCAAATTTTAAAAAGGAGATGTTAATATCTTATTATTTCTACATTGCTATCCTGACATTAATCCACTCACGCATGGTGACTTTAAAGGAAAGCATACTTACAACTGAACCCTGAGTGGTGAGCTTCCTTCTCTATAATATATCTTTATTTTCTTCTTTGAATTCGCATTTCTGAAAGTAAACCCTATTAAACTGACTTGGCTTGCGGCTGAGTGTTGTTTTTTTCCCCTAGAATCTTTCATAGAAATTCCTTCCTCAAATGCTTCACAAAGTTAAAATAAAAAATTATAGGTGAAACTAAGGTAGGGAAAAAATGAAGATGGGCTAGATAAGCCTTACTTTACAGTTCAGTGTAGTCAATGTCAGTGCAGTGTTTGTGGTCGTTTGTTTTATGCTTTAAAGGCAAAAAAAAAGTTAATATATGATGGACACAATTTTAACTGTTGCCTTCTAGATAATTACGCATTTCTTCACAGGCAGATATAAGACGAAGACAATGTCTACCTGGTGATAAGTATTCTTCAATGAATTACTTAAAGCTGAAAAGAGGCATCCTTATTTGGGGATAAGAATTGTTGACCACTACACCTGTGTTTCTTCAAATGTTCACAAAAATATCTTGAGAAATTTAGAAAATGCAGCTGATACTGTTGCTTTTTTACATGCCTATACGGCAGAACATGTCAAGGTATGAGTTTGTTGGACAAAAAATCACCAGATTAAATAATTTTTACTAGGTGCAGAAAACTCCCTCTTCCTTTCTCCAAAATTCTCATGAGCTATACAAGTCTCTGTAGAGACTGAAATTTTGATAGCAACTTTAATATATCATTATTTAATGTATTTTAGGCTTGAATCTTCATTATCTGAGTATAAAAGGGCTGAGCAAAAAGCTAGAGAAGCCAGATTTGATGGATCAAAGGGACTAAAGTGCAAGAGTTTTACAAGATCTGTGAAACGTGAGTAAACTTATAATCTATTATGTAAGTGAGCACAGGAGTCTGGTAAAGATAAATTGAATGAATAATGCTAGCACATAAATGGAAAAAATTATTCTTCTGAACAAGAGGGCCCATTAGAGATAAGGCAATACAGCTCGTATGTATGTATGTATGTATTAAAATGCCTTAATTCCATGCCAGTGCTAAACTACAGCAAAATAAAGCAATAGGTTTGAAGTAAATGCAGTTCACATTCAAATAATTGATATTCTATGTAGTGGAGTAAAAGAAGGGAACATGGTACTTCTGAAACAAGTTGACTAAATTCACATTTACACAGCTGATTGAAAAAAGAATTTAATAGAGATATCATAATCCAGTACACTGGCACAAAGTAATTTATTAGTGGAATTCCTGAGAGTTTTAAAGGTAAGATTTTACTTCTGTCAGAGAACGTAAGTGTTTGGCATCAGAAACACACAAGCGATCGTCAGTGTTCAGCAAAGGGAGAGGCCAATAACAGGATTTAAAAATCCAATCATTATTAACAGAGTTATTATCATGTATGCAGTGTATCTAAGACGTGTTTCTGCATACCCAAGTTTCCCAACTACATTCCCTACCTCCTCTGACTTTAATGCTAACAGTTCCTCAACTAACTGAAGACACCCATCATAGCTGCGGCTGTTTCCTATTCCTATAGTCTGAATCCTGCGAGACAGAAAATGGCAACAGCATCAGCTTCTCCCAACACACACACTACTGCACAGGAATTTGTGGCTTTAAACTCTGTTTCACAAAACAGTAAATAGATTTAACCTACGGGAGCTAGGCTCCTCCGTCACTCACGAACTCTAGAAAATATTACGGTAGCTAGCTAATATAATTTCTGTCTTTGAGAACACCATGTTCTATACTTTCTATAAATCATAAAAAAGAATATATACCCTCATTGTAGGAGTCACAAAGCCTGTTTTGATGAAAGAGCTGAACTAAAAGGGGAACTCAAAATTGCAGAAGGCAAGATGTTCCAAGAAACCAACTGACCCCAAACTTGTACTACCTGGCACAGTATCTATTTCCATATTTCTTTACACACCTAAAAAATAGATACTTTGAAAATGGAATCCTTAAAACAGCCAGTGACTGCCATTTGTGTGTGAAGAAAACTGTCTCAATGCGTAACAAAGGAATGCTGTGCTGAGCAAAATAAACAATTTTCTTTAAATGATCGACTGTCAGCTACAAACGCTAGCAGTATGCTCAGAACTCTTGAATAGTTATTAAATGAAACAGCAGGGTTTCAAATCAGCATGTAATGTATCCAAAACCACCATAGGACATGCACGTTTCCATGGCATGCACTAAGTGACTACACATACATAACTTCTTATTCTCCGTAAGACCTGTCTTAGGTTTCAGTCGTAATAGCATTTTTCTTCAGTGGAATTTGAAGTTGAAACATCAGATACCTGGGTATCTTTGAATTCAATTACAGACGCCATGGTCTCTTGAATAAGAAAATACTGTTTTTTGTAAAAGATCTCACACAATAAATCTATCTCTTTTTCTAAGCCTTCTTTTAAAACCATTGAAAACATACCTCACTCTTCTCCTCCCCCTTTCCAAAACTTAGCCCACTGCTGCCATGTTCACTTTAAGAAAACAGTTGTAACTGGAATGAAAAAGCACTGTTCCCTTACAAAATATTAGCTGTTAACAAGCTAGTGGGTTAGAAAACAGGGTGCATTTTTTCGGTTCTATCTGTATTGTTCCTGCCCCTTGCTGAACAGTTTACAGCTGTGACTTGAAGAGCATCAGTTTTATACTTTCAATTTTGGGCTGCTACTGCCCAGATCTGGTGTTCACCTCTCAAAGCAGATCCAGAATTTTTAACTATCATATTTTAGCAGTCTAAGTATTTCTAAAAATACTGCTGGTTTTCCGGGGATGATCCATTTCTGATATTCTAAGAGTATTTCAGCTTCCAAAAGTATCACAGATAAAAATGAAGCCAACCCACAAGAGTACAGCATGTAATTTAGGTACAAAACTGACGGTGCTTCTTGATCGGGACCTAACCATAAAAAAAGAAGCCTAGAATGAGATCCTTTGTTTAAATTTCCACGGCCAATCTCTCTGGAATTTTAGTAAAATATTGGAAGTTTTAACTCCTATGTCAACAAAATATCTTTTACTTACCTGAAAAAACAAGGATAATATAAAGATCTACTTCAAAACTGGTTTTGTAAAAATCTAAATAGAAATGACATGCTGATATTTGGCCAGATTTTTAGTAGTCTGATCATGAACACTGCTATTTTGCAATTGCAATACTGAATAGATAAACAAAATAAATGAGATACTCAGGCTACCAGCATGACTGGGACACTAACGGGTCTTTGGAAGGTTCTTCCATTTGTCCCGTCATGGTTGTTGAGTGCAGTGTCTTCCTATAATAATCTTCTATGACAATTAACTGTGACGTTAATTTATTACTGTGAATTAATTTATCACACACTGAAGAAAAATAAATTAAAACCTAGATATATTCCATAAGTATAATACAACCCTACATGCCTCAGTTGAACATGCACAAACAGCACTGCCCATCATATATAATGGTACAGAATACCAATATTCAGGAAACTGGTAAAGAAATGCAGCCACTTTGCAGCTTTAGACAACCAAAACCCCCCAAACTAAACCCAAAATCAAACCATTTCCAAGTTCAAAGACTTATTGGTCTGTCTTCAGAGACTGGCATTAACTAATAAATGTACTCTGTGGTAGTGATTTCTGTCACACTGGCCTTTATCTTTTTAGTACAGACAGTAGATTTTGATCTATGTTCCAGGGGTGAAAAATTTTCCTATCCCACTTTTAGTCCTCTGGTATAGTTAAATAAAAACCTATTTGTGCCTTCTGCTAAAGCACAAAATCTCTCACCCAGCCCCCTCCAATTACCATGACACTAAAAGAAAATCCTTCCTGGTAACAGGCTGTACAACGTACAAAAATATAAAAAAAATCTGTATGGGAAGCTTGTAAAATGAATTTCATTCATAAAAACACCACGCTTCTGGCTAGATGACTGGTTTGAAATCCCGGTGAGAGAAATTATCATTTTTAGTTTTGGGATGCCCTGATGCTACTTACACTTTTAAAAATCTAATAGATTCACATGTTGAAATGTATTGAAATTTTAAAGCTTGTGAATGAAATTAGCAACGTGCTGTGCCTGTCAACATGAACCATTAAAGTCCCCAGAGTGTATGAGAGTGGGAGAGTTTAAAAATTAATTCAGATGGTGCACCTGTTTGCAGGAATCCGTCTGTTGAATTAGCATTGCATTTAATAAGTTTCTGTGACGCAACTAATGTCCTTTTGTCTAGGCTCCCTCAGTACAGTGTTAATTCTCACCCATCTGAAATTCAGGCAATATTACAAATTCCAAACTGATAATTAAAGTCTATAAATGTGAACCACTCTGAATGAGACTGGCTTTACCCATTAAAGTTCTTTTTAAACTTTTCAAATTTCTTTAATATCTTATCATCCATTCCTTTCAAGTTAAATCCAAATGATTACATGACCTCAAAACGATCTGTTAATAGATTGCATACCTAAATAACACTAATAAAAATTAAATTTTGAACAAAACCTAACAGATAACACAAGGTATGTTACCCACTGAAAAGAAATAAAAATAGATCACCAGTTCTACGGAAAAGGCATATTAAAATTACATTCTAAAAATTCCACTATTTTTAACCAGTTTTCCCGCACATCGAGTTAAACCTATTGTTTCCAAACAACTGAGTGAGCTACAGCAAAAGCCATCAGGAAGTGCTTCCTAATCGACTTCCACACATCTATTCACAGACCTTCAGTTGAGAACTACCAATCTGTAGTATTTAGAGTGTTCATAATAGCAGATAGCTGTGTGAAAATTATAAACAGTGAGTGGAGTTTGACTGCGCTGCAAGAAGAGATGATGTTCACATGACTGAACAGAAAACTCCTCCTTTTTCCCACATAAACTGCAGACTCCATAGCTCACAGACATCTGCTTATATAGATGGATCAGAAGCCTTTTGGACAACATTTAGGAAAACAAAAAAAACCCAAATTTTTTTTAGGTTTTTTTTATAGGACCTTATTCATTGTCACAGTACGTAGAGAGAAAACTTTCAGGCTCTATGTCAAGAAAGAGAAGGAATTATTTTCTTGAATTGGAACAAAGGAACAAGAAATCACTGGGATACCTGATTTTGCCCCAAGCTGTTGTAGGCAATCTTGACATACAAATCTATTTGTATTTTTTTTCCAGCTATACCTTAAAATTATAACTCTTGCCAATACAAACTTTAGAAACATCTGATGGTTCTGTACCTGTTGTGGAGCTGTTTTGTTTGGTTGGTTGGGTTTTAGTTACATCCTTCACTCTTATCTCCCAATCAATTAGCAAGAACAATGCACGTTCTAACCTTTTGGAGGGTGGTAGGAAAGACCAGAAGTCTAGCATTCTATAAATAGAAATGAAATTTTCCAATTTCAGGCTAGTCCAAATCTAGATACACTGGGATTCTGGTTATCAGCTGGACCTTAACACAAAACTTCGGAGTTCTAGAAATTCTGAAGCCATAGTAATCTATAACACATGAAAGAAATATGGGCTATATATGAATTCTCAGACACTGACAAAAGCAAAGAAAGAGACATAAACACCTGGCACCATTGGCTAGATTTTTTGCTTGTTTTCTGGCTCCTATAACTAGGCAAAAAAAATTGATCCTGTTCTTGAGAGATAATCATGCTTGTATAGAATCTGCAAAATCTAAAATGCAAGATTTTATTATTTTAATTAATATTTTATTTTTTAAAGGACTTGACATTTAACTGATAGGTCATAGATTTTACTCTGTAAAGTCCTGAATTAGTCAGGGGGGGTGGGGGTGCTGTGCCACCAAGAGGATCCTGTAGCTGTGGTCTGTGGCACTTCAGCTCTGGCTTCCCTCAGTAACTTCACGGATATCATTTTGCATAACAATATATATTGACCATAGATGATAAATTAAACAAAATATATTATAGTTACCAGAAATTTTCTTGAGGTATAATCAGTCCAAAAACTAACAGGATCCACCGTTGTGCTCCTTTACTGGAGGAGTCAAATTAAAATTGGAAGAAGTTCTACGCAAACAGGGATCAGTGTAAGTCTTAAAATTGTTTTAACTACTGGCATACTTCAAAAAAAAGCACACAAAACATATGTATTTACTGTCTTGGCAGATATGTGCTGGATTCATTGTCTTTGGCATGTATACTGTCTGATGCATACCTGATTCATGTATCAAACTTCTCTTCAAATATAGCAAAGAGTTTAAAGTGAGAACAAAAAAATCCTCCTCATTGTCACAGAAAGTGACCATTAAGTGATGACTCACATGCAACACATTAAACATGAAGGGATCTTCAATCGCTGTCTTTTATGCACTAGTATTTTTATTTTATTAGTTCAAGCTAGTGCAGAAAATTATTTCAGAAGTTACCCAGTTGCTTGTTTACAGCCTGTAACACATAAACCTTTAGCATAACAATATGGTTGCTTCAATCTCAATAACGGTACAGTTATTTATTTATATATATAAATATATATTCAACAGTTTTTCAAAAAGCATGAGATACCTGTGACAAAAACTAAATTTTAGTTTGTGATGTTGATGACTGACTATATTAAAAATGTAACTCTCCAAGTTTTTTATAAAACTAATAGTGTTTTATTTCTTTTGTTTTTCAAGACTGTTTGTTCCTCACATTCACTATATTTACAGCAGGGGCTTACAACAGCAAGCAGTGGCTTCAGATCCTTTAATCATGTCAGCTAAGCCTTGGGCCTTGGTTGACTGGACATTTAGCTCAAGTGTCCTGACTGACTTATACAAATCCAAACCTTTTGTTTGTCGATCATTAAAAGTAAGTCCCTTAAACTTCCAGTTTAAGTAATACAAATTTTTATGAATACAATACATTTTAAAAAAAATCTTCAGGATACTAATACAACTTTTAACACTATTCTTTAGCAAATGTTAAATTTGGATAGCCATTTTAAAGGTCTATATTCAAAGGAGTCAGCAGTTTAGACTTAATTTGTGACATGACCCAGTAATTTTCATCATTAAAAAAAATATATATCCCTACATTACATATTAAAATGTTAATGAACAGGATTTGTGTCTTACATTTGTCCTTGAAATTTTTCACTTGAGAACACAAACATGAACGTTCTTGATGTGAGCACAGTTCCTGCCTAACTACATTTTGTTCAAGTTGTTTACAGTGAAGAGCAAGTAAGATGAAGTGTTTCAATAGTCGCTCCAGGCTGATCTAGTTGGCATTCACAAGGTGAAGCAAGCTATGTATTGCTTTACTTTTTGCTTCCTGGTTCTTTAAGCAAACAGAAATGATCTGATTTAATTCATAATTGGAAACTGCCATGGTACTTCCCCTCAAAATATTAAAACGTAGAAATTTATAACTAAGAGAGGTCTATGACGTATCTGAAATTTGAAGGCTTATCAATAGCTGGGATAAATAATTCCCTAGGCTGCTGTCATTCTGCGTTTCAACTTGGTTGGCAAAATGATAAATCACTTCATGTAAAATCTATTATTAAACTAATTGTCAAACTACAATATTAAAAGTGGGAGCTAAAAAAAAAAAAAGAAAAAAAGAGAGAGCTGACATCAGAGCAGAATAGGCAGGATTAGATCCTGCATGATTTCAAGTACAAATAGATCCCTCTGGGACTTTGGGGATTAATATTTTTTCCCCTCAGCCACTGTGAAGAATTAATGAGGGTACCTGCAACAATGCTTGCAAGCTGCTGAGTTCTGGTGATGGGGTATATGCTGCGTGCCTGAACGATGGCTGAAGCGATTTTCTTGGCGTGCCTCTCCTCCCCGTATGTTCTCAGGATGGACGCAAGCGCCTGTTGATCTAAAGCATTCACAACATCAGCAGCAGTGGGCATGTCAGGGTACCTACGCACAAGAAGAGCCAATTAGTTCGCTGACGTCAGTTTTCATTGACAAGAGGTGAAGCTTCGTAGCATTGAGACATAAAGTCAAACACACACACTGCATACAAGTGCCTTTGAGGTTTTTAAATAAGAGACAGCAACCCTATGAAAACAGATATAGCTTGCACCTTTTAAATCCTTTTCCTTGCTACTTTTAATGGAGTTTGTTCCTTAACGTCAATTAGAACAGCTGAAACTTCCAAGTATTATCATAAACTATGCTTAATGAGTTGACAAGAATAAATACATTTCAGTATCATGTTAAAATGGAAACGCTGTGTGACTATTTTATTTAGCCAGCTTTAGAATATAAACTTGCCCCTTATGGGTTCATTTTAGACACCTTGCATTATATGCTGTTTTCTAGTCAGAACTGATTTCAAGGGTCTTTTCTTTCACATCTCCTGCTATGAAAACAATTGCTCATGAAAATAATTTAACTTCACTTTTCACTAAAAGGCATAAGAATTTATATCCAAATACTGTTTTAAGAGAATAGAAATGACCTAATATTACAAATGACAGGAATTATTACAATATAAGCAGTATAAGCTATACATTTATTTTTTTTAAAGCTCTGTCACTTTGCTGTTGAAATAGTTCAAGGTATATTATGAACATAATAGATGGGTTTACTAATCAGAGAAAACACACAGCCTACTTAATAAATATTCTTCTACAAAGACATGAATGTGCAGAATATTTTTCAGGCATTTATTACTCTCCTGCAGTATCTTACAAAAGATAACAAAACTTAGGAATCAGAGGCAAGTAGTATCATAGCAACAACCGTAGTGTAAGGCTTTTGTTATGCCACAGGTATCCTTTGTTCTTATGCTCCTGTTCCATGTATGTATTCTCATGATGCAAATATAAGCCTGGAGTTCAGACTCTTGAAATCTGAGCACTGAATCCCAGGGGGAATCACGTGAGCTTTTTACACAAAACTGGAAAAAGCGAATATCATGAAATTTGCTGTGTTAAGACTTAACATTAACGTGTTAAGGTAATTCCTTAGAAACTGAGGCTTCCCATCGGCTCTACGTGAGCAATGAAAGATCAAATGACATCTCTTAAGACTACAGGTTCATCAAAACACAAAGCAAAAATTTTCATTCTCCCAGTAAGCCATTATGCAATTACTGCCATCATCTATACAACAGAGATCTTTGGTGGTTTGTGTAAAAAGCACAATGCTACAGAAATACACTAGGTTGCTTGAAGATGAAAACTGCTACATAGGTAGAAATTATCATTCCACCATTGATTTTCATGCTCTTGAATGTACTAAACACCAATTCTAATAATTTAAATAGATGTGATTTATTTAGTAATTGTTAATTTGACAATTAAGTAATCCTGATGTGCCTCCCACACCATGAGAAAGGAAGCTTATAATATCGCTAAGGAAAGCTTACAATAAATCTTTGGGCATGGAAGACAACATTATACTAGTGTGTTAAAAGCAATGTTGTTGTCCGATTTCAACCGGAAGACATCGTGGATGGGATTTTATTTATTTATTTTATATTATGTTCCTTTTAGAGAGAAGTAACTGGGTCAGATGGCCATTGCAGAAAAGGGGGAGGTTGCTCCGTTCCTGAGGGAGCAACTGAACGTGCTCAGGTGAAGGTTCCACAAATAGTAAGTGTAGCAGAAAAGGAAAGGGACTGCAGTAAGGGTTTGTGAGCCTGCAGATCAAGTACAGTCTGAGAAACTGTGGAAATAACAGGGAGAAGACAGGCCTCTGAAAGTCAGATGCCCCTATGACTGTATACCATACACTCCAAAACCGTAAAATTTTAATGGTATAGTTAACAAAAATGTTACTGGTTTAATTACTCATCACTGGAACTTTCCTCTTATTTCCAAGAAGAAAAAGATGATAACCAGGGGTCTAAGTATTGAGATCGAAAAAAGCTTTGTGGCAAAAGAATGACAGTAGAGTCATGCAAAATTAGATGCGGTTTGATGATGAGAATTCTTCAATTTAAGGGGGTTGCTGAGCACAGAGGTTTTGAGTTTCAAGGAGAAATATTTTATTAACAGGTACCTGTCACTATCCATCCTCATGTCCAAAGGTCCGTCCTTCTGCAGGGAAAAACCTCTTTCGGGTGTATCAAATTGCATGGAAGAACAGCCAGCATCCAAGAGGACTCCATCTAGAGTCCCTGGCTCAACTCCAGAGGAGATTAACAAAGCTTCTGACTGGCTAAATTGTCCTAGAAGAGCTCGAATCTGTTTCCTGTAAAAAAATAACAAATAAATAGCCTCAATTTTAATTATAACAGTGCAGTGTCTTCCCCTTGTATAGCAGGAATTAGATAGTAGCACTCACTTGTCTCGGAAGCAATAGGGCTATTCCCAAAGTAATAGTTTAAGTACTTTTCATATGTCAACATTGAAAACTGGTCCAAACCACCCATCAGCAGCTACTTAAGCTTCTTTAACTCTTTACTCTCTTCCTGCTTGATCTCAAAGAAATGGAAACCTGACTAAAATTTCATTTTTTCAACACGCAGGAATTCAAAGGGACACCATTCACATTCAGCGGGAATGCCCTGACCACCCAGGTACGTGCCATGCTGGTGGCACAGGGCCCTTAGTCAAGTGAGGCCAGAGTGCGGAAAAGAACAAATGGTTCTTGGACCTAGGGGAGAAGCAGACAAGATGGAACACGACTGCACAGCCTCAGGGTTAATACTTACCTGCCAGGAAAAAAAATCCTGGGTTCCTGCCATGGGACAAACACCTTTCTTTTTAGTGGTATTTACCGTTTCAAAAATAAGTGGGCAAATGAGGCGCACTGGATCATAAGCAGATAAAATACTCCAGTGTAGTTTCAATTCAGGTACCTTATAACTGGGGACAGTAGTTTTACATGCATTTTTGTGCTTAGCATTCTTCTTTCTTGGGTTTAAGGTGGTTCTTGCTTAATATTCCCATACTGGGAAGGGAAAGTGGCACGGCAAGGGAGAAGATGACACAGCTCTGAACTGCCCAATGCTTTCTTGGGTGTCTAAACCCGGACTTTTGATTCTTGCTTATATATAAGGTGACTTGCAATTAAATAATTTATTTTATCTCTCTCTCAAAATCTCAATGAATTTCACAGATTTAAAAAGATTAACCAACTGCATTTTTAAGCAGTATCTGCAAAACACAATATATTTTTGCCCTTAACAAGAAGCCACTGCCTCCACATCTGAATTTTGATTACAGTTTGTGGAACTGCTCTCCAGCCCCATTGATTAGCATTCAAATTATTACAAGGTCCACTAGGTTAACTCGCATAATTTTGTCTAAGTTACATGGGCAGCAGTGCATGGATGGAGAGAGCGACTCCTTTAACTTTCAGCTACAAAAGGACAGCTGCCTATGTATCTTTTGACACTTAGCATTATAGTAATTTTGAAAAGAAAACTTTTTCAAAATACCAGCTTAAGTCTAATCCTTCTTTCAGGTCAGTTTAACATCAAGACAACTGGCACTATGACACAACTGAGTTAACTCCAGTGGCTACAGTTTTAAAATACTGTACGAACGAGGAATCGGAACCTTTTTTGCACCCATCCAACTGGAGTGAGAAAATGCTACCAACATTTAAAAAAAAATTAAAAAGAGAGAGAGAGAGACACAAAAAGCTCAATTAAAGGGAAGAAGTTATGAACACAACCATATGGAAGAACATTTAGCTACACAATGGTATCCTCATTAGAGCAGAATGAATCAACCTATTTCACATAGCACAAAAACCGGGAAATAACTTGAATGAACAGATTTCATGAGGGATATCATGATCGCACATACACATTTTTCAATTGATTAGCATCCAGCACATAATTAAATACAACTATTCAGCTTAATAAGAACTGACAGTTCCTGAAAAGCACAACGATATACCTAACATATTTAAACCAATTTAAGCTATATAGTTATAGCTTTGAGATTGTATTTCCCCTCAATATAATGAGAGGGATTTTCTTGAAAATCTGTACCACTTTGTCCAACTGGGCAGTGTTTCTAATATTATAGCTTGTGCAGATGAATGAACTTTAAAATTCCATATGTGGGAGATGAAAATAAATGAGATCTGGAAAAAATTATAAATTGCCATTGTCTAGCTCCCCCAGCAGACAGTAATCCATGTCAGTGGCTATGAACTAGTGCTGTACTGTGCTACCAACCAATCTGAAAATTATTCTGAACTATATTTATAACTTGCTAGAAATTTGATTACATTTCTTGAAACAAGTCATAAGAGTGGGGATGACTAAGATGTTTGGGATAGTGGCCTTTGATTTGTGGTCTGCCAACCCTTAGTGATTAGGAAAAGGTAATTAAAAAACAAGTATATTTGATGTAAGTTGAAATTTACTTTTTGATAGAGAGATGCTTAAGCTGGAAAATGTTTTGGAGTTTGCAAATAAAAAAGATTGACAAAGAATTAGATTGACATTTTGATGTCAGCCTTTCAGCTGCATGAAATTATAGCTTCTGTATATAACCTGTCTGTTATACACTGCATTTTGTGTATCAATTGTGAATATAGGTGTCTTGGTGAATATTAATCTTTACTAAAACCAGATGCTTTTCATGAGATTACAATGACTATGTTAAAACGTTCAGGCCAGTTCTCTGAAATCCTGTTTCTTTGTGGACTAGAAGAAAATTTTAAGCAGCTTGGGTATCTCCTACATTTCCATTAATCAAACCAAGTACACAGCTATGAAAGATTTATTACCTTATGAAAGGAAATATAAATATCAACTTTTCTTTCGATAGGATAGTAACAATGATGATAGTGATGACAAGGACTAATGTATTAGATTATGAGGATGACACATTTATTTAAAGAAAAATATTTCACCAAGCATTCAGAAGCATTTCTTAGCACATAATAAAACTCTTCCCTTGTCTACTATCTTTTACGCCTATGTTCAAATAACATCCGCCTGTTACACATGATTTTCTCTAAAAATGCTTAATTTAGCATCAATTCCTTCAGCCTTCAGATTTTTGTTTACATCATCTGTAAATCCTGTTTCCAGAATAACCTCAAATAAATAATAAAAAAACTGTGTACCCTACGCTAAAAATGTTTATTTCCTCACATACCTTCTCCTCTCTCCAGATATGTAGATATTCTTTTCGCTTTCTTTTTCAGTGTTCCAATGTTTTCTTTGGGCATTAGAGAATTTATGTTCCATGACCATACTTACCTAGTGATGGTGTGAAAATCTGTCTATTACCCTTTCTGTCTTAATATATTGCAAAGACAGTGCTCAGGGGAAAAAGCAGGAAAGGTAAACCAGGGAACATCCCTAAATACCAAATAAAACAGCCAAGCTCATAGTTCAAAAAAGCCTGAGAAGAGAGAGCCTATCAAAATGTTACAGACCAAGACTGAATGGAGGTTCTAGGTGGGTCTTGGAGATACCGTCAAAAGCTGTTAAGACTGCAAAGGGTCACATACAGAGAATTTCAAACATTTTAGGTGATCTTTGAAGGTTACAATCTAACTAAATCCAATTGTCTTGCTTAAGAGTGTGATGGTGTGCTCCCCTGCCCCACCCCCAACCTGACCTGTATTTCCCACAACCCTGCTCAAGCGATAACCACCAGTGGCGGTTGTAATGGGTGCATCTGGTCATGTGGATTTGGGGGAGATAGATACAACACAATAGCCAAGGGCTAATTTGAGCAATGCGCCCACCTAACCACAGCGCCAGTCAATGTCCAACTCAAGCCAAATTTGGAAGAAACTAACATCTCTAGTCGGTATGTAAATAGGACTATAAGTCAATTATCTTACTCCATAAATAGTGGACAGCCCAGGGCCTGTCGAGCTCTCCTGCGTGGCAGCGGGCTGCAGGCCAGGATCTCCCCTTGAGCAGGGACGCCTCTCAAGGTTACACTTCCGAGGCTGAGAGAATCCTTCTCGCGTCAGATACTCGGTAAGTGAATTGGGAGTAAGCATGCTGAAACTTTGAAATCTTAGCTAAGTGATATAAAGGATTGACTGCGCACATATAACCCTTTAGACATAAACCGTTGACCAAGTCTGGGACTAAGTCTGGATCCAGCCGCATCTAAACTCCCCTCTGAGAAGGAGTTTAGAAAGCAAGGGGGTCCTTTCTGAACCTTGTGGCTCAATGGGAGGGTCCCCCAACAGTTCTGTCTGACCCTGCCCTCTGTGCAGTAAATACGCAACTGTACCTTGCCATTGAATCTTGTTAAACCACTGTCGCATCTAGTATCAAACTTTGTTAGATCGATGGTTTATATCAATAAACTTATTGCTACTTCCCTCTTACGAGTGAAGTGTATGACTCCACCTGCCACAAATAGAAAATATTTAAACTTAGTACTTGAACAGCGCTTTACATATTCAGAATATTTTAGAAATGTAAAACAACTGTGAAGAGCTTTTAGCCCCTCTCTTATAAATGGAGAAGTAAGATTTGCAGGGTTTAATACTGAATGACTTGTAGATGCCTATGTAGAAAGCTAACAATTTCAGAGATTATGGTCTGCAGATGTAAAAAAGCAGACAATACCTGTCATATGTTTAGCTCTTATTTGGCTTCTCTGTGTGTGTGCAGTAATAGCATGGTAATTTTTGATAAATTCCCAACTGCTACAGTCAAGCAACCTCTAACTTCTCAAAATATTCAGCATGCTTACTCCCTCTTTATTAATTTTGACATTCTCCAAGAAAAAAGTATTCAAGATTTTAAAAGAACACGGGGAACACAGACAACCTAGCCAATTTTAAGAATATTAAAAAGTTATTTCAGCTGCTACGTATGTTGTTGGGGCCTTAAAAGATTTTATCCCACAACAACCTCAAGAGGTTGCAGAATTCTTGTATTGTTTGCTACAGCTGGAAAATAACACAGAACCTTGGGTTCAGGACCCTTTGTTCAGGTCATAAACACAGTATTTTATTATATTATACTATGACACATAGCATAGTAATTCTGATAGACGGCATTGGATCCACACTTCTCAATTATATGAGAGAGCAGAATGAGAAAGAGTTCAAAGTCTCCTCATGTATTTCAGGCTCTTCTGCTTTCAGCTAACCTCTGGTATTCTACAATGTTTTATAAAAATATTTCTTTTTTATTTTACTCAGCTGAGAGGGATGCGCACAACAAAAAAGTAGAGCATGAATATAGCTTCTATGAAATAAATAGAAAAATCTTTCCCCTTACCTAGTTTCTCTCCGTTGTCACAGAG